TGTCATTAATAGTCGCAATTTCTGACTCTACTGTATATTGTAATATATATCTGGCTCTGCAAAAGTGCAAGCCCCCTAAAGTTCCTATGAACTTGCTGCCACGCACTGATCACGGCTGAGTGGTTATTGCCTAGCTTGAAAGCGCAAGAGTTGCACTTCTACAAAGCAACTTGATGAATTGAAGGCCAATTGAATTTGACGTTTTAGCACGATCAAAAAAGGCAAAATCTGTTCCAGGAATGCTTACGTACATGGCCACCGCATCTCAAAAATTCACATTAAAAAACACACGCGCCTACTCGGCGCCGTGCGCGCAAACACTACGTGACTATCCTAGTAGAAAGAGACCACAAGTGTGACCACTAATTCCACTCTCCTTCTAAGGCTGTTACTATCCACTGCCTTGCAATCCCTCTCCCCAAAAAACCGAAATTTTGTGAACCATGATGGATAAGCGATGTACTGTCTATGCAGTAATATACGCGGTAAACACTCTCAACAGGAAACGTTTTCAAACTAGCAACGAGGATGATACATTTGAAGGAAAATGAGAAACAGTTTTAAAAAAGGCAAAGTCAAGGTAAAAGAATAAGCCAAAAACAAACTCACGGGCTTTCGAGACTTCCAAAACAGGAGCACCCAGCTTTCCTAAAATGTTCTTAAAAATGCGGGTTCGACACTAGAAATGAGTGAGAGATCTCACAAAAACATGAAAGGAATTTTAGCTGATATTATAAGATTTTAGGGGGAAAAGTTTCGACATCTTTGAAACAGTGTGACTACTAGGAGAGAAGAAATTTTGCAGAAATGTCTTGATAAAAAGCACAATCACCTTGTACTATGATAACTCTTCCTTGCGCCTGTTCAGAAGGTTGATCGACACGTACTGTCTGCGTGGGTGCATTTGAAATGGGTTGAGTGTAACTCACAACTGGGCGCCACTTCTTTGTGGGGATAATTTCCGAAAGTGAATCATTGGTACCCTGAAACATACAACGAACGAAGTTAAATGATCAGATCTCAGTAAGCAAGGCAGTTCAAAAAAGCAGATAGGATTGATTGAAATATCAATGGCAAAGACAAACCTTTACTGTTTTTAAAGGGGGAGATGCGCGTGAAGCATCAAAATACGGTTTCTTCGCTTCACTGTCAAGGTTCCTCCATTTTTCAACCATCTGCAATAAGACTCCGAGACGATGCTAGACATAACAGTAGTTTACTTATATTACCATTCTAGTGACGAGACCCATTGGCAAATCAGGCCGAGTTTTTAACAGTCTATCTCGCTCCTCATTAGCGAAGATAGTGAATGCTTGAGCCGACCGTCGCTTAAGGTCTAAAATGATGGCGGTTACTCAGCCTATCACGGGCTTTTAAATGATATTTAGTTTTCTTGAGTCTGCCACGATTCTAAATCGCCTGTAGCAAAGCAGGCGGGAGACACCTATCAGCTGCAACGCCGATATGCTAAATGCGGCCATTGCGAGAGAGGCGGACAGTTAACAATTAGGCGTCGCAACATGCTCGGTGCTACAGATAAAAGGTGCTATTCGCGCCCAGAAGTAAATATTGGATTTCGCTGAAACTTCACTCAAAAGGATGATTTGAGGTGCTGATCACGAAAAACGCTTTCACTAAACACAGTAGAACAGGATGTAAGATTATGGTAGGTAAATTATGGTGGTTGTGGGCCATGGACACAAAATTGGCTGGAAAGTGGCCTAAGGGGTTGCTATACACTGATCACAAAAAATCGCGCTATTTCCTATAAAAGCTGAAGGGGTGATTTGCTATGTTGATCACGAAAGCTATATTCACTGCGTATGCCAGACTTTTGGAGCGTGGTAGATGAACAGTGAGGGTTAAGATCAAAAATTTGCTCTAAGAGTGTTTTAGTAAGATAATCTGACATACGAATTAGTATGATATCCTTTCCACACATCAAACTATCACTATAGGATTGGGTAGATAAAAACAGAATGCCAAACTAATGATCTATAGTTTACCTACCGTTATCCTGTAGGAAGAACTTGGCATACGGAATGATATGATTTTCGTGACCACCATGCCAAACTAAACCTCTGAGCGAAGTGAGGACGAAATTCGAAATTTTGAGATTTTGGAGCATTGTAAAATAGTATGCGAAAATCATATAACCGCAGCAAAGACCCCATATGGTGGCAGGTAGACGGTATCGGGTATAAATCATGAAATTGCAAACACAAAAAGGGGAGTATGGCTTTGAACCAACTGGTAAAGGGACACTAGTCATAGCGAAGGTTGTACCTAATTAAAAGCTTAGGCGAAAGGGAAAGTTATATCTAACCATCTTTACTTCAACTTTTTAACTCTACAATAGAAGTGAGTGACAATTTCATGATATGTTCCACTATCGTCTTCTTACCATAATCCTACAGCAAGGTCCTTCCTTACAAATAGATGTGAAGTTTGTAGTCAGCATGCCGAATGACCTCTCTAGGCGAAGTTCTAGGAGAATTTCGAGATTCTGGAGCCTGTATTTCGGCTCAACGCCGAACAACACTCGGTGTGTAAGATATAATGGAACTATACGTAGTAA